CTTGACAATTTCAATTCAGATTCAAATTCACAAGTGATTGCTGCAAATCGATTCAATCAATCAATTTATTATTAATTACTGTCTATATACCAGAATTAAGTACTCTTCGAATAAGAACAGAGAACACAGTATACTTGCAGTACTTTCGCTTTAAAAACGTGTAGACAGACAACAGAAAATTCTGTAACTATACATTAACGTAAGAAAGTTATCCCAAATTACCTGTTCAGAGATCCCGGTGCCACCGTAGACACAGACTACTCTTAAGCCTAAGGACTTGGCGAATTTCTTGATGTCCTTGCCGATTTGCATGCAGAGTTCCCTGGTAGGAGTCATGATGAGTGCAATGGGTCCGTCTGTGTCTTCCAAGGGCGGCTGGTCAAGTACGTGGCGGAACATTGGCAGGATAAAGGCCAAGGTTTTGCCTGACCCTGTCTTTGCTATTCCGATAAGGTCTCTGAAAAGATTATGAATGAATGAATGAAATACGTTTGATATTAAGTTAAAATGGTTTGTTGGATATATTAGTCAAGCTTATGTAACAGTTAACAATTTTGAGGTTATTTTTATGGCACTAACACATACAAATTCATGGAAGACAATGTACTTAAATTTAAACATTGAGGATAAATACAGATTACAGCATTAATATATTAAGTCCCTTTTAAAAAAAACATGAATTAATTGTATACAACTTACCTGCCAGACATAATGGCAGGGATGGCCTGAGCTTGAATAGGAGTTGGCTTCTCAAAGTTAAGTTTCCTTAGTATATCCATTTCTTTCTTACTAATACCGCAATGAGCCCAAGTCCTGATTGGTTTGGGGCAACCCTTGCCCTTCACTCGGATACCTTCTAACTCTGTTCTGTATGCTTCTACTTCTTCTGGAGTCATTCTGGATAATTCACTTACCTGATAGTGTGAAATTAATATTAGTATTGTTGTGTAATAATATCAATATAATATGTATATAAATAAAAATGAATTTCCGTTCGTTAATCTCGCTAAAACTCGAAAACGGCTGAACCGATTTGGCTAATGTTGGTCTTGAAATGTTCGTGAAAGTCCAGGGAAGGTTTAAAAGGTGTCTATATTTTTTTTAGGCAGTACGTAGTTTGCCGGGTCAGCTAGTCTATAATATAAAAATAAATCGCTGTATGTGTTGCTAAGCGCATCTCGAGAACAGCTGAACCGATTTTGATAATTCATTTTTTGTTTACTTTGTTATTATTAGGAGAAGGTTCTTGTGTAAGAAACCTAGTTTGTGGGGTCCACTAGTTAACTATAATAACGGGAATAAGTAAAACACTCACTTCAGTATAGAAAGCTTTTCTGAAAGACATGTAGTTGAGACTTGCGTGGTCGACTTTAGCCAGGTCCTTCCTTTGCTTCGAAGCCAGGTTCGCGGCGGCATCCTTAATGTCCTCCGTCTCCTCCTCCGAAGAATATTCCAGACCATCCTGATTCTGTTCTATTAATTCTCCTGAAGATAATGACAAACACATGAATAATTTATAACTGATTTAAAATACAATAAGAATGATGGAATGCAAATAAAGTTTGAGTTAAGGCACAGAGGCCTTAACTCAAACTGTTTTACGATAAAAATACGATTATTTTTATCGTAAAACAGTTTGAGTTAAAAGCGGTCTCATTTCGATGAAATGAGACCGCTTTTGGCGCTCTGATTGATTGGTTCATTGGAGACGGCCAATCTAGGGTTGCCAACTTTTTTTTTAAAAAGACATACGAGCATTTTGATTTTATAGGAGTATGGACTTACAAAAAAAGAGTATCATTTACTTTAAAAAAGATATTGTTTTGAAGTTTTTGCAGTACATAACAATTTTTAGTTGTTTTAAAGGAATTGTATGAGTCAATTTCAACTGTAACTGTAAAAAGATAATGTATTGTATATTTAACGATTAACCTAAATTACCTTTATTTTTCTGTTCAGTGACTTTCTTCTTAGCTGTGCCTGTTAGTACGACGACAGTGCCGCCTGCAGTGGTGGGCACATTTATGACACCTCGCGCCTGATCCATCTGATTCACTTTACGCACCTCCTGAGAATAGACAGTTGGAATCGAACTTATCATACCAAATAATTACAATGACGTAAAGAATCATGAAGACAAAAATTCACAAGTTAATCACTTAACTCGTCGAGTACCGGTTTTGTAGACACAATTATAGAACAATAGGTTGCGGTCACCGGTGACCGCTTGGTGTTTGACAGTTTAAACCTTCCTTATGAAACACTTTATACTGTAATCAATCAAGACAGTTTTACATTGTCAATTAAAGGTCGACAACTAAAGAGATCTAGGCCTCAACGCGAATAATAATACAAAATATCACGCCTTTTATCCCCTAAGGGGTAGGCAAAGTGCACGATGCAAAGTACGACACTTAATGCCACTGTACAATGTAACACCCACTTGTTACAGAAATCCTTTATGGGGTTAGGTATTAAATGCTATAATAAAATACCAAATAGCATACTAGATCTCAATGAAAGTAAATTTAAAACATATATTAAGCGCGAATTATGTAATCAAGCTTACTACACACTGACAGATTATCTTGAAGATAAGAATGCTTGGCAGCATGTTGGTTCGGCTCCACTGGACAATACTCAAATGTAGTCAGTAGTTAAATTCCAATAGTAGGTAATATAATACATAATTTAATACTTTAATTCTAATGTAGACAATCTAGTTTCCTTATGGCATCGAGCATTTCTTTCTTTATTGAAACAAAGAGTTTCCTTTTTCTTGTATAGAAGCACTATTTCTATGGATTGTCAGTATGCATATGTGAGCACCATGTTAGACTTAAGATCTTTATTATTTTTATTTTTATTTTAGTAAGTTATTAGAATAATGCGTCAAGCGTGTCTTTGCATTGTTCTTACATATGCGTACAGTATTGAAATATGTATCAGAGACATTGTAGAACATACTTTTTTAAAAGAATAACGAATGGAGTTTCTTGCTCGTTCTTCTCCATTCGAATTTACGTTTTGGAATGAGCACCTAGCTTCACCTAGCTTCACTGACGGACTGACTGACAGACTATTATTTATTTTGTATTTGTTGACGTTTCAAAAGTACCAAACTATGGTTTAATTGAAATAAATACTTTGACTTCTATTACATGGGACTATTACATGGCGAAATTCCAGACACCGCGCTACTACTGAGAATTTTATTAAGCTCAGTAATACTTTGCCCTAACGAATCGAACTCGAGACCCCTTGCCCGGCGGACTTGTGACCACTCGGCCAACGAGGTAGTATTATAAATAGTTATAGTACACATAAATTACGAAGAGTCGCCTAAGACTGAAGACGCCTTACAAGTATTTTTTTTGTGTGGCTATATTTCAGTAAGTAAATTTGCTTGTCTTTTGTCTTACCTATTGTAAATTTCAGACACAATGTAAATTGTTAAATAAATAAATAAATGAAATATAGACCATGCCCTGAACAAGCATGTCATGATTTATCATAATAGTATGAAAGTACTCTGACCTGTTGCACCTCTTGCATGTAAGCATCCAGTGGATCTATTTCATCTTCTTCTTCCTCCACTTTCTTTTCATCCACCACTGGTTTCTCTTTGGTTTCCGCACCTGGATCTTCACCTAATGACAAAACAAGAAAATCAATATTTTATTTCATGCAATAAGACCTACATATTTTATTTATAAATAAACAGAGAAACAAAAGGTGAGAGGATGAGATAGGCCTGACTCTCGAGACCTTGAGAGTTGACACAGAAAGAGCCTATGCTTGTGTAAAGAAAAATAACCCGCAGTTAAGGGATGTGTATGACTCAAAGACATAAGAGATATATGAACCTTTCTTGTAAATTAAGTTACAAAAGTAAAGTACCCTTATTGGTCATTAAAAGACAATTATTTCTTTATGTGGTAAGCCGGTAAACGAAATGGGTCACCTGATGGTAAGGAATCAGCATCGCCCATTGACACCAGAGGCATTACAAGTACATTACCGGCCTTTTGGAATTAGGAATTTGAGGATTATTGAGGATTCAGAGATTGGAAATTCAGACATTCAATCACATGACAAAACATGCTGTGGTATCACTAGAAATACACTAAATGAAATAAATAACCTGTCAAGCTGGTAAGCTATTTCATTTTTTAGAAATAAAACATACCCTCATCGCCAGAATCATCTTCTAGTGACCATTTCTTGCTTGCTGGTACTTGTATATTGCTTACAATACTGCCTTTCTGGACCTCTTTTTTAGCAGACTCCAATTCTTTACGTTTTCTTTCAGCACGCCAGCGTTCGATACGATCTCGTCGCTTCTGCATTTCAGCTTCCAAACGACTTTGTTCTTCTTCCTGGAAAGAACAAAATATAATATTGTTTACTAACTAGTACAGAAGGACCTAATTAGCCAAGTAAATACTAAGCAAGACGATCAACATATTTTCAAGGGAAGCAAGTAATTTTTTTTTTAGATCAAATTAAAATACATTATTCTGTTTAATCAACAATCGGTTGATGACAGAAATAAATAAATAAATTAGCTTTTAAAAAAATTTGGGCCATCTATGAAGTAATTGGGTAGTTTAGCTAGTAATTTGTCCGTCAGTTAGATAATGAAAAAATATTAGACACATATTTTGTTATTTTCTCGTATAAAGTTATAACACTTATATAAAATGGAGTTAAGTTTAGGATTGGGAGGTAGTCACGTCACAACATGCTACATTCTGTAGCACTCTGTGACGTTACACGACATTTCAAATCAATATATCGTCGAAAGCATTTAATTTTGTAAGAAAATAAAATATGTATCTACTGTTATAAAATAATCTACCAGACGGACATTAAAATAAAGTTTAGGAAACTTGCCTATTGCCTTGGACGCTTAAGTTTTATCTGTCTCTAACTTCATGGTATTTGTTGCATAATAGCAGGTTGCCCCACCTCTGCACTAACGTCCAGTTACTATAACCTATCTCTAGTAAGAAAATCTACAGATAGATAGGTTATAGGAACTGGACGTAAGAGAAAATTTTATTCATCTTACCTTATCTACTGTTCCTGGATCATACTCAGATTCAGTTTTGACAGCTTTCTCTTTCGACTTGGACCTTTCCTTCTCTTTATCTGGTGATTTCTTCCTTGAGGACTTTCCTGATCCATTCCTCTTGTCATCACGCTTATCACTAAAACAAAACATTGATTTTCAAATAAAAACACCAACATTACATGGTGATTATCATAGGTTACAGCAAATAAATGTGTTTTTCTTTAAAATATTTTTTATTTCATGAATAAATCAAGTATACTATAACAATTATATATCACAATCAGAAACCTTTTGCATGCCAGCGATGACCTGTTTGGTCAGGGGTAAAATCACTTGACACCAAGCTAGTTAAAATAATAGGTGAAATGTATTTCGGCAAGTAACTATGTAGTTTCTGCTATCTCAATCACTCAACTGTTTGGCAACTAAAACAGTTGAGTGGTGATGTCGATGGTGTTCACAAGGAATTGAAATCTTGGGAAATGGAACATGATAAACATTAATATTGATATAATAAGGTTTATCGTATTGATATATTAAGGTTTATCATTTAGCATAGGTACTAACCAAAATTCACTATTGAACTAGTATCAAACCATTAACACAAGCCGGTTGTTATTAACACAGAAATGCTTGTGTAAACACTTACCTCTTTCTGTCACGATCCCTGTCACGATCTCTGTCACGATCACGATCCCTATCACGCTCGCGTTCCCTGCTACGGTCCCTACTACGTTCTCTCTTGGACTCCCTCTCCCTGCTACGACTACGCTTTCTACTCTTCGTCGATTTAGAAGTCCTGTCTCTAGATCTAGACCTGGACCGCCTCCTCTTACGGTCAGGCGTTGCCGATCGGCTGTGAGACCGCCTTCGATCGCGGTCTCTATCACGATCACGCCTGTAAACATTAAATGATGTCAAATAATGAATGAACTTACAACAACAACTTCGAAGTACACAAATCATCAGTAAACCAATTCAAGCACTTACCCACTTCTCACCATTATACTAAACTAATATCATTAACGTTATAAGCTATGTTCTAAAGGTTTTTCTTATAAACACATTACTAGATTTTCATCAAAGCGTAAAATAAAAACCATGACAAACACGTTGACGCGATGTTGTTTGACAAATATAGTGTTGTCCTAAATTTTCGATTCAAACCATGTCGATTAAGGTTTCTGTTATGTACTTGTTATTTAAACTGTAAATACTAAAATTACTTTGTGTAAAAAAGCATACTAAATAATTTTACGAAATACTATTACAATCTTGAAAACAATAAATAATAATTCTTTTAGCATCACTAACGACAGGTTCTTCGATCTTCGGTGTCTCGTCTGGCAACCCTATTAGGTCGATGCCGCGCAGTCGTGAGTCGAGCGACCAATCATAATCAAGAAATAACTCATTCTTGTCATTGTCAAATCAAATAACCTCAAAATCAGAAACACCGCTCTGCCAGTGTTGAAGTTCAATAAAATACGTTTACGATATAATACTTTATACTTAGTCTACGGTTTACAAAATCAGGAATATCCACTTGTCTAACGTCGTCCGATTTTCTAGACTAAACAGTGACCATGGCTGATGATGGTGAAAATGTAAGTGGTAAATTATTGACTATTACCTACCCTGTTGTTATTTATTTACATGTCAGTCAGTATTTCCTTTCAATTTTTTTTTCATATTTTCTTTTTTTCTCATGTTATTTAAGCTATTTATCGCTACCGTATTCAAGCCTAACTTAGTTATCACTTATCCATTTCTCAATACTTCATTTCAGGTATCTGTAATGACAGTAAAGGAGCCTCTGGACCTCATTAGACTAAGCTTGGATGAGAGGATATACGTAAAAATGCGAAATGAGCGTGAGTTGAGAGGAAAATTACATGTAAGTAAACTGCTAAGGCATTATACTAACTGCTACGATTTTTTTTATAATACATAGGGACAGGGTTACAGGTTAAGGCGACCTAGATCGTTAAAGAGGTGGTAGTATGCATCATTTCTGACCGATTTGACTAAAAAAACCTGTATACTAAACTTTAACGTTGACTAAGATATTACTTTTATAACAATTCTAGATTTTGGTTAATTACACCCTTTTTTGTGTTTTCTTTCTCAATTTTGTTCTTTTTTTAGCTATTTTGTGTATAAAATTAGTTGTGTTATTATTCAAAACCAGCAAGTGATTTGACTAACAGAGGCATAGTAGATGAAGGATTTTTTAAACAGAAATAAATTTGCGATAAGGTTTTGTTTCCATAGTAAAATATTTTAAAAAAAGTCTATGACGGATGTTCTGCAGATGTTTGATACAATGTTTGCGATTTCTCAGCTTTCCAATAACATATAATATTCTAGGGTAGTGTAAGAATTTTCAGAAAAATCTTGAAACAGGAGAAGCCCAAACAAACAAAACACTATCTGATTTGCTGGACAATACACAATTAAACTTCATTCATAACATGTGGTTTCAACACAATGGTTGCCCCGCCCGCTTTAGAAGGAATGTCAGAGTGCCTAGACACAAAATTTCCCAATAAGTGAAACTGAAGATGTGGACCACCGTCACCGCCAGCAAGGAGTCCATACTTTGACTGCTCGGTGGCTGGGCGACTCGGTTCCGGGCAACTGGTTGCCGCGCAACGTGTCGCGGGTTCGATTCCCGCACGGAACAACCTTTTGTGTGATCCACAGATTGTTTTTCCAGGTCTGGGTGACATGTGTATGTGATTTTGTATGATTGTAAACGCACCCACGACACAGGAGAAAATCCTAGTGTAGGGCAACGGCTTTTAAGAAAAAAATAAAAAACTTGATCTGCATCTTGTATTTATATTATATCAATTATTGATGTGGAGGTCTCTCCTTCTCGGGATGATCCGGTGAAAATTAGCACCGCAACCCGCAGGAAAAACAATGCTCATGGCCCCATTCTAAATTTGTCTAAATATCATTATTTTATTGTCCCATTTTAAATAGTAAATCAGGAGATTACTTTAAACTGTCTTTATTAATTACAGGCTTATGACCAGCATTTGAATATGGTACTTGGTGATGCAGAAGAGACAATAACAACTGTTGAAATTGATGAGGAAACATATGAAGAAGTTTACAGAACAACTAAGAGGAACATTCCCATGTTATTTGTTAGAGGTGATGGAGTCATACTCGTGTCTCCTCCCGTGAGGGTTGGAGTGTAATTTAAGATTAATATAAGTTTAATTAATAAAATCTACATTTAAAATTAAACTCAGTTTTATTTCTTTCTTCCTAAAAGCTTCATAACACTTTGGTTCTTAAAATTACGATTTTTAGGCACCAATAGTTCTTCTTCATCCATGGGTTCAATGATCTTGCCTGCTTTAGTGATGATACTAGGACGAATCAGCTTCTTATGTGCCTTTTCAGGTATAAATGTATTTCCCAGAGGTGCTCTTATTGATGCCTCATAGTCCTTAACACTTTCGAATGGGAAAGGTACATCTTTGACTTTATGTACTGCAAGCTTAGGGTCCTTGAACTCCTTGATTATAATGTCCCCCTTGTTTTCATCCCGACGTGGCATTTTAGGTGGGGCTTTGAGAATAAACCTGTTCCTTTTACGTTTTTGTGGCTTTACACCTTTTCCTCCCCAAGCTCCCCAACCAGGTAATGTAAGATTAATATCCTCAGGCTTATCTTTGTTTATTTCATCTTCTTTCTCTTGCCTGAAACTTGCCACAACATCATCTTCTTCAAATACCTCTTCTATATTTACTCTAGGTACTACTTGATCATCATCCAACTGGTCATATTCATTTTCAACTTGTGAAATAGCAGTATTCAAATATTTAGGCTTAACTTCAATGAATCTATTAGGATCAATATTAGAATCGGCAGATTCTTGGACTGGAGTTTGGGCAGCTTTTACTAATTCAGAAATGGTTTCATCTTTTTCTTCATTTGCCATTCCTTCAGCTGTTTTAGATGAACTTTCCAGCAATTCTTCATCGATGACTGCTTTTGGTTTTTGCTTTTTGAGCTTAAGATATTCCAAATTATCTTTAGGTTTATTATCAGTGTCATCAACAGTTTCTACATCCCAATTTGAAGTGGCAAGTGGCTTTTTCGCTTTTGATTTAGCAGCTGCCTTCTTTCCTTTCTTTGATTTAGGAGCTGTTAACTTTTCTTTAATTGCTTTAGTTACTGTTAACTTTTCTTCCTTTGGTTCAGGATGTGAGGACTTTGCATATGAAATATCTTTATCACTTACATCATTTTCGTCACTATCACTGTCATCAGATTCCTTATGTTTGTTAATTTTGTTTTGTACAAATTTTTTATAACCAAAGTCAAATTCAGCATTAACATTAGATTTGTCCGATCTTTGTACCATCCAAGGATTGAAGGGGTCTTGTGACAAAGTAAAATTAGGAGTTGGTTCATCATCACCTTCATCATCTGAACTCTGATTATCTTGCACTTTCTTTGTAAGGCTTCTGCCAACAGATAGCTGGTCTGCCAATTGTTGTCTTACCTGAAAAATTATATGGTAGTAGCATAAGTTTACATGTCTGTTGTGATCTCAATTCTGGTTCTAAGACATACAGAGTATAAATAGAATACAATAAATAGCAGGGTCGTTGCTTCTTCAAAAGATTTGATAAGTTTAAATAACAGTGAATAATTTTGTATCTGAGTATATTATTGATGAAGGTTATAGCATCACACTACAATACTTTAATACTTACTTAAAATGTTTTTAATATCTAAATAATATGTCCATAAATAAGTTTTATTACCTCTTTATCATACTTGGCTCGGATCAACTTGTTCTTAGCCCATTTGCCTGTACTCTTGTGCCTCAAAGTATGTCTCTCTAAAGCTCTAGCTTTCTCAATACCTTCCAGTTTCTTTAAAGCTTCCTCCGGGTCCCTCTTTTGTAGTTCCTCAAATTCTTTTAGTTCTTGTTTTAATTTTTCTTTCTTGAGAACTCTGTGAATCATTATAAAAATATGTAAAGTTAGTTTAACCACTCTGCCAACCCGTATATCCCCAAGCGGTCATCGGTGACCGCTCTCCACTAACTACATTATAGACCTTATTTCCAATGTTTAGAGACTACTTTTGTATGAACAAATTTAGGGGATGATTTTCAACAATTTTCAACAGGTTAAGTAATCGTGGTGATTAATGCTCAAACTTCCGTGCAAGACGAGGCCTTAGTTTAGCAGTGGCCGCTTTTAAGTTGTTGATGTAGCCACTCTATATTTATGAGCACTACAATTCATGTAGAATCGCAAATAAATAATTTTAATCTGATAAACAAACAAAAATACATTGGTATTCATAACACTAGTACACACGGCTACACATCGAGCTTTACATAACCAGTATAAACTGAACATTAAATGTGCGGAAAGATGATGCAATGCGATACCAGGATAAACTAGTTTTGTATAGGTTGATGTGTGGCCGTGTGTACAATGTAATCAGACTTACCTGTGGAACTTTTTACTCTTAATTTTGCTTTGCCTTTTAGCCTTAGCAGCTTTATATGATTGCTGTGCTCTCATTTTGGCCAGATGTTGTCTATATTCTACCATTTCTTCATAACTCTTGGGGAAGATTGGCTCTTCTTCCTCCTCATCTTCAACCATCGGCTGAGGGTCTACTTCTTCTAATTCCTTTTCAAGTTCAGATTTTAATTTAAACTTAGTCAAAAAGTCAGATGTGGGTTCAAGCTTTGCAGATACATGTTTTATTGGGAAAGTTACATAATCTACAGTGCGACTTCTTGCTACGACTGGGTCCCATCTCCCTACTTTCTTCTTAGTCTCTTCATAACCCGTCGCTCGTTTTATACGCTCAGCTTGGGGCTTCTCCAGAGGTTTACTCAAAACCTTCGCCCCACTTTGTGTTTTTTTAAGTTTTTTACTTATCTGTACATGGTGTGCAGTGTCCTCTAATACTTTAGCAACGTTGTCAATATTCAGTTTATTTGTTCTTTTAATTAAATTAAACTCTGAATTAAGATTTGTAGGTTCATTTCGTGTTGGCTCTGTTATGTGTTGCGTTTTGTCTAACTTCGACACAGCACTTATTAAACGGTCATGTTCCAAAGCTACTAAATCTGTATCTTCAATGTCTTCCATTTTATCAAAATTATATTGTGTACGCACTTATTAAAATGAATTCAAACGTGATCTCACTTTTATAACCTACAAAATACCACACACTCCTCGACTCGAAGTTCAACAAATTGACTATAAACTACAAACAATTGAATGACAGAATTGACAGATAGATACTTGACAGTTGACATTGACACTATTGACAGAGAAAATGGAAGTATTGCCAACAATAAAATATAGAGAACGTTCTTGTGATACCATCTTAAAGAAAAATGTGGGGCAACGTATAAAAAGGAAAAAATAATAATTATAATAAGAAAACATACTAAATATTTTCGGTATAACAAAATACTACTTATTTCATGTGTCCAATGCGTGGACTAGCAGAACACAGATCAAAGAGTATAATAAGTATAGTTTTCTGTAAAATAAAATCAGACTACAAGAAGAAATAAACAAGTTTGTAAATAAAACAGTATTATCTCTTTTCAAATAAGCAAACATGTAAACAATAGTATACAAATTGAAAAGATTGATTGATTGAAAAGGATGCAATGATTTAATACAGAAAAGTTTAACCTTCATTACCTATACATGACTATTCAGCCAAATTTAATTAGACCAAAGTGAGTCTGTAGTGAAGTGAATCAACATCTTAAATGGAAACAAATTTTAACAGCTTAAAAATAACATCACTTCACCGTATATTTCTAGAAGTGGACAAAAAAGTGCATTGCGATAACATTATTAATCAAATATTACTTAAATTTTTGTTCACATTGTTGAACAATTATGAATGTTACCTCTGTATAAATAAGGTTTATTTTATTTTGTCTATACCTTATAAACGGATCAAATAAAATTGTTTGAAGTTTCGTAGTTACCTCGAACATGGTAAACTTTATACTCAGGTATTGAAAAAAAAATAGAAATTTTGTATTAAATAATGTTTAAAAAATATTTAATAAACTCAAAAATCAACTACATATGTCTATACTGGAATCGAACTTGCGACCCGTCACCGTTAATCTCATGCGATTACCACTGCGCCAAGCTTGCATCACCGATACATTGCGAAATATTTGATGTTATTCAAAACTATATTGTATTTATTGGGTATGATTATGTAGTATGTAACTCGATCGTTCATCATTCGATTTATTCAATGTTTATTACATATTATTTTTATCTTTACCCTCATTTTTAGTTACACTTATTTACTGAATTAATATAATATGGTATACATATTAATTCAGTAAATAAGTGTCACTAAGATAGGTAATGTTGAATACCAATGTGTGCGTGATGGACGAATGTTTTTTTTATGCACATAAATACATATTGCCATTACACTTGCCGTGTGCACATCACTCACACGGATATATATGCGTGTGCATGTGTGTAACTCGTGACTGTACACCAAAATATGGTCAGCTCTATATAACTATTTTGTAATCATTTGCTCCCTTGTCAAATGATTAAGCCCTAGAAATTGAACCACATAGTCAAAATTTAAAATGTATCTTGCTGTGGACATTAATATTTCCAATGTTCTTCTTGGAACTTGAAATAAACAAGATAATCTCTCCCCAGTCTCCTGTTTTCAGTTTGCACAAAAGTACAGTTACTGCAAAGGTACCCCGATGCATATTTCTTAACCGGGGTGTTGCATATACATGTTGATGTTGGTCCTTTGTAATACCAATGAAATATTTCACTTGGTTGTCAAGATAATCCTGAATATTTTCATAATTACTATTTTTTAATCTCCATCAGAATAAAAATTATATCTTCAATGTGTGTTGCAGTAAAAGCATTCATACTGTATTCTGCAGAATAAAGATTATGAAAATCTGCCTCTTGCAAATGTTCAGTACAAATACGAGTACCTTTTGGAATATAATATTGAAATTGTTGTAAAACCCTATACCTTACTTCTTGAGGAATTGTGTGGCGCTCATTGCTTGTACATTCCTGAAAAATACAGTGCCTAGGTGTATCAGCTGCTCGTCTCATATTTGGCAATGTGATATACTGAGGCCGTTCAACATGTTGTTGCCTTTCAGTTACTTGAGGAATTTCTGTATCTCGAAGTTCAATAGCAGTTTGTTGAGGGCTTTCAGTTTCAGGCTCTTGAGATCTTGGAGTCTGTGGCACTACATCTTGAGCCTGTTCCCAACATATTGCACACACTTCATGAATTGCTGATATCTGTAAATAAGTGAGATAACTATAAAAGAAGTAAACAAAAGTACATTTTTTCCTAGAGTAAAATATAAAGATTAAAATAAATTTAATTGATTTTACAATGTTAAAATGCCTGTAATAGTGTATTCCTATTACACAGATCGTAGGAGCTTTAAAACAATGTAATTAAACAACAACATATAATTAATTAACTTAATTAACTACATACATTCATTCATTCATTCATTCATTCATACATACACACAAAACATTACACCCTTTATTACCTAAAGAGGTAGACTGAAATAAACTATAATTAATTTTCAATATTATAGATAGAGCCAAAGAGACATAGCTTATTTATTTGTTTGAACATGCTACTTTTCAGAACAACTGGTTTTAATTCTAACATGATTTCTGTGTAATACTCCATAATACTTCATCTGTGTAATACTCCATTTATCTCTATTATGTGGAAGGCACACTACGGTTTGCCCCAGGAGCAGCAAATATTAGTTTCATAACTAATACTGAGTACTACTATACTACTGATAGGATGTCGCGGAGAACCTAACGGGTAACCGGGGCTCCGGCTCGACGTGCAGGAGAAGGAACGGGGTGGTTTTTAGTCAGTAAGAGTCTGACACTCCCTCCCGCCTCACCCAGGCGGGAGCAGTCATTCGATGATTTTCCCCCCTTAAAAAAAAAAAAAAAAATACTACTGATAGGATAATTAAATTGTCAAACACCAAGCGGTCACCGGTGACCGCAACCTATTGTTCTTTAATTGTGTCTATAATGACGGTAGGTACTCAACGAGTTAATTGGCTATATCATTATACATCTTATAATTAAATAACTATAACATGAACCTTCCATAACCGGTTATCTGCTAACTATAGATACATAATTAAGTAGGTATATTGTAATGTGTAGTGTATACATACCTGCCGAAGCTCTGACAGCCGAGCAATATTTTCTGGCCTCAACTGTTTAACAGATGGCAATACTGAAGTAAGGCTTTGTCCACATACAGCACACATTACGTCCTGATAGAGAACGCCATGAGGTGGTATGTCAGGAAGACGCACATCAGGTTGTGGTCTTATAGTTCCGGCTCTTCTACGAGCTTTGAGCCAGCATGGAATACAAGTTTCATCATAGGAAGTTAGCTAAAAGAAATAATATTATTAGAACATCCTATTAACTTCAAATAACACAGTAAATAATAATAGTATTTTGTAATAGTACAGTAAAAATATAGTTTTATTAGGTACCACTCGTGGCTGAATCCAATCAGAGACTATATGAGCAAGTCTTTGCTCCTGTTCGTTGGTCCCTGCAATTAAAACCCTGCGACGATTTCTCCTTGCAATGGAACGCCCACATACGACACAGACATGCCGATGACCGATTTGTTTGCTGGGCATACTTTCCGGAACATTCCGATACGTAACTAATTGCCAGCAAGCATGGCAAATATGGTCGGTAAGAGTGATCTAGAATAAAATGATACATTATGGATAGTAAACACTGTGCGCCTTCTTTTATTTAGGCAACAAGCACTTTCGATACGTCATGTATAAACTAGGTACCTCTCTAGGATAAGCCCACAATCGAATAGTGTTGACCACGTCTTCACTCTCATTACCTAGAGCATGCCGTCTCATGCGCGACAAACTCAACTCGCAATTAATGCACTTTAAATTCGACATCGCGTCGAAATCCAATACACTATGCACAAGTCAAAATAAGCGTCTTTCCGCAATTATTAAAACAGTACTATTAAGCGCCTTTTCGCACAATAATGCCAATAATATCAATTTGGGTTACGGAGGAACGGATGCTCAACTCAACATATCACCAAATAGATCATAAAATGACTTCAAATTGCACAAACATATCATAACACCGTATTTGAAACCAATAGAAAACCGCCACTGACAATATTGACATCCCACAGACTACTACCACAGACTGACCACAGACTACCATAGAATATATTAATACTAAAGACTACGTATAAAATTACTACCTACTATCCTTCCTTCCCTTTTAGTATACTCTCTGTACTATCCCCCCGACAATTGACAAAAGAGGGGTTTTTCAAAAAATATCAGTTCAACATTGCCATATTCCAGTTTGTCAAAATGGTAATTATCGTTAGGAATGTGATATCTATACACATATCTTTTTAATGTCTATTATTAGTAAAGAGGCTGTTATCTTTGAACGATTATGCCAGCATAACTGTCATTTGATCTAAGTTTAAGGAATTATTTTGTAAAAATTGCAATATAGTATTGAATAAATGTGTACAATGTTATTTTACTATTTCCAAACAATATTATTTTAACCGTAAATTTTAAAATAATGTTGCAACTTTGATTGGAACTGGGTGGCCACTGAAAATATTAGTTTTGACAACATTTAATTTCGGGTTCGAAAACTAGATGTAGTTGACGGTTCGATTTTGTAAGCTGTCAGTGGCTGTAAGTAAGTGTGACGGCCCTGCACACAGATCCAATCTCTAGAGAATCCGTGGTCGAACAAAACTCGTCCTTGGTGGCGGTCTTCGACTGGGGTGACGCCAACTTGCTCGTGTTCAACGCTAGCAAAACCCAGGCGTGCTTATTCTACGCTAAATGTAGTCAATTTTCGCTGTTTTCTACTTTCCAGAATGTTTCCATTCCGATAACTGATTATCTTGAGCTTCTTGACGTAACTCTGACGCCTACACTGAATTTTGGCTCTTAACAGAGTCGAAAGCGCAACTGGCTGGTAGGAAGTTGGGTATCCTATGGAGGGTGAGATGGTTCTTCATGCCGAAACAATTGCTGACCCTGTACCAAGCACAGGTTCGTTCTGTATGGAGTACCTACTGGTCACATGTTTGGAGCGGCTCGGCTAAATATCAGCTGGACGCGTTAGAGCACATCGAGAGGCGTGAGAGAGAAACAGGCTCATTAACGATGATGCGCTTGTGGAGTTTCAAAGCTTCGAACACAAGCGTAAGGTTGCAAGCCTTTCGGTTTTCCACCGGATAAATGTCAGTAGTCCATTCCATCATCGTACACACCGCTACACATCGAGCTTTACATAATCAGTATAAACTGAACGTTAAATATGCGGAAAGATGATATGACGCGACACCAGGATAAACTGGTTTTGTATAGATTGATGTGTGGCCGTTTGTACCACAAGACAATCGGCAAAGCGTCACCGATTCATGGAAGATGTCCCACCCACAAGCACAAAGCGCTTCGCATCAAGCTTTTTTGTACGTACTGCTAAGGAGTGAAATTCTTTGCCAGAGTCTATATTTCCTGGAGAGTATAACCTGGGTATCTTCAAGGCCCGAGTGAATAGGTTGCTTATGGGACGACGTGCCCTATCGTAGACTGCATCATCGGTTACCACCAGGCGAGATAGTGGTCAAATGTCTATAAAAAAATTGTATAATCTACATCTACACTAAAAGTAAAAAGAAGTTAAATTTTTTGGTTTGTTTGAATTGTTTTTTATTTATTCAAATAAATATAATTATACATTATTATTAAATATACAAAAATCGCCAAACTGTTACCAGTTTGTTGAATAGACTCCTAAACTACCCGACCGAATCCGACCGATTCGAAAAATTATTTTATCCTTCATTATCGATGATGATTATGGGCTATATCTAATAAAGTTCAAAGTTGATGAAAACAAAACAGCAATCAGGATATTGCTAATGAATGATGTACATGCATGTAATTTATCCTTTTATTTATATTAGATTAAAAATGTATTTTTTTTACTTAGTGTTCTACATGACAAATGAAGCTTGTAGACAATTGAATTTTGTAGAACTTAGCCCATACACTCACACTGTACCGTATTATTTAGTAGGTATCAGTATGGCCGTTTGGAGTTCATTTTCTGTTTACGATTAGTATTGCAAGTGGATTGGACTACAGAGATTAAATCACAAGATGGATAAACGACAATTTCGTACTTTCATTATAGACAACACTAGCGACACGCCCCGGTTTCGCACGGGTGCAATATGCATGTATTATGTATATGTATAAACCTTCCATAAGAATCACTATCTATTGAAAAAACCGCAACAAAATCCGTTGCGTAGTTTTAAAGATCTAAGCAAACATAGGGACAGACAGACGGCAGATAGACTTTGTTTTATACTATGTAGTGATGTTATACTAACTTAGCGCCTACACAAAATGTAATAGCTGTATTAAGACTAAATGTGTTTCATAATAATTAATTTACAACCAGTTTGACCTCGGGTTTACAGCTATTAGAACTTTTAAATAACTTTTCGATTTTCTAACCCGAAATCTCAATAAAATTTGTTCAAAAATTATACCTATTGAAACCGAGACCTCTAGTTCAGTGGCCGCGCATCACGAAGATCACTGGAAAAGGTAGACTGTACAAGTGTACGTATAAATAGTTGTTTAGGTACCTACATCTATGATTTCTTAGCGTTTGCAATATTCTCATCGAAATTGCTTATCATGCTCGAATGGTTGCGAGTGTTGAACTTCGTATTCGAGCAACAACATAGGTACATTTAGGAAATAGGCTAAACAAAACTAAAAGTAGCCGACACCATACGACCGGCCATTTTTTTCGAAACAACAATCGTTTGAAGTTAAAAGTAGACTAGATTTATCAACTAAAACTGTGATATTTATACATCGTCGTAAAGCACAAATCTTCTAGTTTATTTTAATGTATAACACTTGCAAGATAAATAAAAAAAAAACTGTAGTACTTACGACATAATTGTTGGCACTCACAAAAACACTTCACAACACGCGCGTCAAACGAGTCAACTGAACTTAAAAAATTATATTTTGTTTGTCAAAGCTTATTACACTGCCATCTCTATTTTTTTCGTCGACCTATTTATTCAACTGTATAGATAATCTGTCAAAACTCACCAAGCAAGACCGTATTTTAAACTAGAGGGCATTAAACACAACTCGTCGCTTTGGATACTATAGTATCCACGGGCGTATGACGCTACTTTTTTCTTGGATACCGTTCTATCCACGGACGTCAGAGTGGTTATGTAATTCTCAGGAACATTTCAGACAACATATGATTTTAATTAGGATATTAGTACATATTTTACAAAATAAAATGCATAAATCATAATACATTTCCGGACTGGAAACTGACGTCTTTATTATTAATCTTACAAATAGTTAGGTATCTACTTTGTAACGAAATCATTTACTTAAACTGTCACCGGTGACCGCTTGGTGTTTGACAGTTTAATATTTGTATTAAAATGACAATGTGTATATACATATTCGTAATAACGTTGTATTCCTAATCCTCAAAACGATCGTCAGTCAACTTATATAAATATAAACTATGTAGGTACGTCAAAACTTAAAAAAATATATCTTTTTAAATAGCTATTAAAAACATCTACACAAACTGCAATCATATTCATTATTTAATACTATTCAGCACCTTGTTCAGGTTGTATTAAACATTTTCGTAAAACTATCTTTATACAAGAACTTTTTGTTAGTAATAAATTTTCAGACCAATTGAGAAAGAAAGTGATAAAGAAGTAAGTACTACCTAAGTTGGAGTTGGTCAGTTAGGTCTTGCCTAGGTCATCGTGAAAGAACGGATGTGAACAGACTTACGAAAAAGGTTTCGAGTGAGAATGCATAGAGTAGTCAGTAGAGGGCGTTGCGCGTCGTAGACCAAATAGGCGATAATATATTGAAAAAGATCAAGAATGGTATATACAGGATTACGCAAGGATTACCTATTATTTAGTATTATTTAGACGCACCTAGATGTTTCAGTATCTTTGCCTACCGGTTATTTAATGGGCAATTTTGTTAGGTACTACAGAATTAGTCCGATATTTCATGGACCACTATTTCCTCTGATGATGAATTAGTGGAAGATGAAGATAAAGGGACATAATCGTCGATTTGTTGTCGCTGTTTATGCTTCATTTTCCGTTTATTTTTACGAAATATTCTTATTTCCTCTCTGCAAATTTCTTTAATGCATTTTCTGTAACCAGAAAAAAAATGTTTAATTATTTATCATCATCATCAACATCAACAGCGAAAATCGTCCACTGCTTTTATTAATTATTGAAGTCAAAAAAGCAAATCGAACCGAATGTTGGATAAGCTAAAATATCTAAGAGGGTTTTTTTATTTATTTTTTTTTAAGGGGGGAAAATCATCGAATGTCTGCTCCCGCGTGGGTGAGGCGGGAGGGAGTGTCAGACTCTTACTGACTAAAAACCACCCCGTTCCTTCTCCTGCACGTCGAGCCAGAGCCCAGGCTTTGTTTAAGTCAGTATGGTTTTAATGGAGTCTTTGCTAACTCACTTTCACTGCGAGAAGTGTATAGTTTTAAGTAAAACTCAGTACTTCAATATGTTGCTATTGTTGATCGAAGTTTAATATTGAAATTTTATTCTAAACGGATTCTTTTATGAAAACAGCGTAATGCTCGTAAGCTCTTTGAATGCTCGTCAACTCTGTGCGCGGGAAACTTTTGTAATCTGTCTAATGTACTTTTTTTTTAAATTTGACAGATGACATCTTCAACATTATGACAGTGCTGTTGAACACAGATTATACTAGTGACGTCCATTTAGTTGATTTTCTTGGTCTGACAATAGGCAATGTTAGTTCTGCTACAAATATTACATTATTAACCAACACAACAAGACGTATTTTACCGAGACCACTTTTAAAAATTTAAAACGTCTGAGCATGAAGGATTCTTGTCTTGTATTTATTCGTGCACTAGGTATGCATTCAAGAGACACCAGAAATCTTTATAATTATATGATTCTGCTGTACGTGTGTATGTCATTGAACTCCTGCTAAACGGCTTGACCGATTTAAATGATTTTTTTTGTATGCGTCTGAGTGGCGCCCTGGATGGTTTAGATTCACAAATCAGCCCGGCAGATGGCGCTGCAGTCGATGTCTTAGATATTTATCCTAAACTTCGAAAAATAATTATTACTTTATTGGTCTTTCCTTTCATACATATGTAGGACCACGTCTGTCGGGTCCGCTAGTATAGAATAGAGAGCCACCACGGGGCTACAGTATTTTAAAGTGAAAATAAGATATTATAGAAGTTACCTCACTAAATCCTTGGGAACATTACATTTTGAGGCTACTGTTCTCACAATATCCTGAACGAGTAGTGGATTTAAAACTCTCTGTGTTTGTTTCTTCATATAAACTGAAGGCTGCGTCCCAAGAAGCGAATATTGGGCTAGAGCACTGAAATTATTACATATTGCAGTTACACCTGGGTCCCATTGGATTATGTAAGCAATAACACAATTTGACACGATTGCGCGTGTTGTAGGATTAAAATCCTAAAGGAAGGACCTTTATAATTACGGACTTCCTATATTTCCTTCCTTGATGACCATGCAATGCTTTGTAGCAATCTATGAATAAATTTATAATTGACTACTTTTGATTTATTTGAATATAATGTAATTTTTTAATATAAATATTTTTGTCTGGTGTGGGGAATAACAAATTACATACCTTCTAGGAAAAACTGATAGCAATAACTGTCGAGTCGCTAAACTATATGAAGTCCAGTCAATCGAAGTCATTATACATCCTGGTACTTTTGCAAAACCTGCCCCGATTTCAACCTGATGACCAAAAAATTAAGTGGTTTATAAAAACTCCATGTAATCAGTAGTTATATGCATGGTGCAGAAAAAGTTCTTACCAGATTGTTGCACTTCTTACGGATAGTACTAAAAGAAGTGTGAGGTAACATTCTGCGCCTCTTGAGGTAAGACTTCGAACCGTCTAAAACTTGACTCGCCAGAGAGCCCTTTCGCTTCGATCTACAACGTCTTTCCTTTTGTTTTTCTTCACCTTCCTCTTCTTGAACTCCTATTTCTACACCCATACTCTCATTGTCTTCTTCCGAGTGTAAATTATTTAAGCTTACTTGTGGGTCACTCTGCCTTTGTTCCATACTAACGATATTTTCTTCATCAATTTCTTCAGATGACGTAGTCAGTTCATCTTTTGTTTGCGTATAATTTTGCAATTCCGTATCAATAATCTTTGCAATTTTTTTCATTTTCTGTAGTCGCTGCCAGAGTTTTTTTTCTGCAATCTTGTCATCTGTATTGTTATTTCGGGAATTGCTGGGTGTATCTATCGGTGGGGAAGTAGAGCTGTCATCTATCAATATGACAGCAGGTTCCTTAACTATCGATTGGACAGAGCCATTGTCTACCGGTGGAGAAGCAAGGCAGTTACCTATCGGTGGGGTAATGCCGCCGTTCACAATTAACAGCGGAGCAAGACCGTTATCTCCCGGTGGGGAATCAACTACTACCGGGACGGCAGCAAGGTCATTAACTACAGGTAGGGGAGCAACATCAGTAACTACCGGTTGGGCAGCAGGGTCCTCAACTACCGGTTGGGGAACCGGGTTATCAATTACCTGTAGAAGAACAGGGTCTTCACCTATCTGTGGGGAAACAGAGTCTTCAACTACTTGTGGGGGGACAGGGTCTTCAACTACCTGTGGGGGTACAGGGTCATCAACTACTGGTTGGGCAGCAGGGTCATTAGCTACCGGTTGGGGAGCAGGGTCATAAACTACCGGTTGGGGAACAGGGTCATCAACTACCGGTGGAAGAACAGGGTCTTCAACTACCTGTGGGGGTACAGGGTCATCAACTACTGGTTGGGCAGCAGGACCGTTAATTACTGGTGGATGAGCAGGCTCGTTAACTATCGATGGGGAAATAGGTTCATTAGCTTCCGGTGGGTAAGGAGGACCTTCAACGACCGGTTGGACCGGTTGAACGGCTAAACTACAAACTACTGGTGGGGGACCAAGGCCGTAAAGTTGAGGTGGATATATCGGAGGGTCATTTAATCTCGGTTGAGGCGCAGCTCCGTTGTCAATTAGGTGGGACGCAGCTTGTCTGTTGAATGTTGGTTGAAGTGCAGCTCCGTTGGCCATCGGATGGACCGCAGCTTCGTTGGCAATTGGGTGTGGTGCAGCAGGTCTGTTGAATATCGGTTGAGGCGCAGCCCCGCTGGCCATCTGTTGGGGCGCAGCATATCTGATGTATATCGGTTGAGGCGCAACTCCGTTGGCCATTGGTTGGGGCGAAGCATGTCTGTAGCACATCGGCTGAGGCGCAACTCCGTTGGCCAACGGTTGGGGCGCAGCATGTCTGTTGGATATCGGTTGAGGCGCAACTCCGTTGGCCAACGGTTGGGGCGCAGCATGTCTGTTGGATATCGGTTGAGGCGCAACTCCGTTGGCCAACGGTTGGGGCGCAGCATGTCTGTTGGATATCAGTTGAGGTGCAACTCCGTTGGCCAACGGTTGGGGCTCAGCATGTCTGTTGGATATCGGTTGAGGTGCAACTCCGTTGGCCAACGGGTGGGGCGCAGCTCCATTGGCTATTGGGTGGGACGCAGCAGGTCTGTTTATGTTAAACATCGGTTGGTGCGCAGCTGCGTTGGGTATAGGTGGAGGCGCAGGTCCAGGACCATTGACTATCGGTTGGGGCACAAATCTATTTGCTAATTGTCGTCTCCTTTCATTCATTACTATGTTGGACTGTAAATATAACAGAATTATTAAAGGTTAATACGTAAGTTCTAATTTCAAGTTTATTATTGGTTAATAACTTACTGATATTCTGTCCTCATCACTACTGTCGCTATAATCACTGTTGCTAGTACTTGTTTGACCTGTACGCCGATTAATTATCAAATTAGGTATAGATGGCACTTCTCCAGTACTATTCGGTAGGTCCTCCACGTGCAAACAATATGTCTGAAAATAATAAAAATTATTTCAAGTAGATAATTAGCCTTCCACGCGGTTTCACTCGCAGTTCTGTTCCTACTCCTACCCTAGCGTGATAAAATGAATACCAAGTTGTAAAAGCTTGTTTTTGTCCTGTGTTAATTATTGAAATTGAACTATTGAAACAAACAAACAACCAACAAACTCTTCAGCTTCTTATTATATATTATATAGATATATTTCCAAAAGAACTATCAGGGCGTGATAAGGGATCGATACTGATGCCAAAAATGCATTCAGTTAAATGTTTGTTTGTTTGTCTGTCTGCCTGTCTGTCTGCCTGTCTGTCTGCCTGTCTGTCTGCCTGTCTGTCTATTTAACCGTTATAGAAACAAAAACTACTCGACAGATTTTAACGAAACTTGGTACAATTATTTTTCATACTCCTGAGCTGGCTATGGTATACTTTTCATCACGCTACAATCAATAGGAGCAGAGCAGTGAAGGGAAATGTTAGGATAACGGGAGAAGTTACTCCATTGTTTAAGGTTCCGTCGTGTGTGCTACCTTAATGTATGACGGAAATGATTTCCTTAAAATTATATAATAATATCGCACGACAGCATACGTCTATCTTTTATGGTTACTTAGCATTTCGAAGGACCTGGTTATATTTGTCTACCTACACTTACGTTTATAACACTCGCAGTCATCCCCAACTTAAAAAGTTAATCTGCGTTTGGTGTAATATGTGTATAAAAATATGTGTTTATTGACGCATTAACGACACAGAGTAAAATTCATAAATAAGGCAACACTTGTAGAAAGAAAATAAATATTGTCAATGGTTGGTTATTTCCTATTAGTTTTGAAAAACCTACAGTTAAAGAAAAAGAAAGGCTCAGTTGCCCGTTGGAAAGAGCCGAACACAGATATTCTGTGTTATCTGTGGTGCCGAAACAATCATCCAGGTTCAAGTCAACTTTGGAAGTCGTATTATTTGGTGTTTAAATAAAGTTATAAATTAATTGAAAATAACGAATTACGGAGTAGGCTTCGCAACGTCCCCGCTTCCGCGCACGCTACTCATGAAGCCGAGACCCGTTGTGAACTTGTGACTTGAAACTAGTAGTGCTTGTAGGTACATACTGACTGGCGGGTGCGGTCGCGATATATCCAACATATGACATGACATCCCGCTACTTACACAGCACCTGCGTTTTATACGTGAACTTAAATATCGTGTCATTGTTTGATATTTCGCGCCCGCGCCCGCCCTCGCGCCCGCGACCACGTGTCAGCGTGAACAAGCACTTAAAGCTTTCCTCAGTTATTTACGTAAGTAGGTAAACCGTTATTTTTAATTAATAATATGTCTCACGATACATAGTTAATATTATTGAACAATGTTTTAAATTATTATACCTATTTATAATTTAAGTTACATGACACGTGTTTGGGCTATGATAGTAGGTAGGTAGGTAAGTGGGTACGTGGATACGCATGCACCATACCACCCATCATTCACCAATAAAATATGGTATGTAGTTATTTAACAATTATTTTATGTTATGTATTACTAATAATTGGGTTTTTAAAAAACCTCAGTACCTATATCTAGTAGTACGGAGTCTGGACATGTGCCCGGTATATGGCAATAGGCTCACCCCCTATTACATGGGACTAATAACATTAATTGCTGGCATTAAGCGCTGTAACGTTTACCTCTGCGGCCTCTGTCTACTTCTTCGGGGATACAAGGCGTGAACTGTTACATACATTTAGAAGTCAGTTTCAGTATATTAATCGACTTCAAAAACGAAGGAGGTTGAATATACCTATACACTATAATTATACTGCACGCTTATTGTATGTTATGTATTGACTAATGGGTGTATGTAATAATGATTATGAAAAATGAAACCTCGAATAGGGTAAGTATATTACAATGAAACACGTAACAACGAATGCATAGTACTACGAATAATGTAACACCGCCGCCGTAGCAATGCAACCTCGTATATAATGAAATAGGTATTAAAAGTTTACTATTTTAAATCATTTAAACTCACAAAGAAATCGCGCTGTTATGTCGTGTCAACAAGGTTCATTTTAATTTATCTTTCCTCTTTTTCGTCCTCCTTTTTTGGTTACAAGATTGCTATTTAATTTACAATGTATTATGTATGAATGTATGTATGTGGCTCACCCCCTATTACATGGGACTCATAACATAAATAATAAATACTGACAAGTGGGTATTTCATTGTACAATCGCATTAAGTGCCGTAATGTGTACCTCTGCCAGCCCCTTCGGGGGTAAAAGGCAGGATGTATGTATGTATGTAATGTATGTATGTGTGTGAAGTAGAATCTTGCAATATCTTCAACGGATTTAGCTAAAATTTTATACGCATTTAGTTTGAATTACCATAAATACTTAGTTGCTACATCAACAACTAGTTGCCGATCAAACATAAATAGTTGTTCCGTGCGAGAATTGAACCCACGACACGTTATGTAGTAGCCACGTGCTAGCGCTTCTAAAGTAAAGCTAATGTTGCACATGGTCTAAAATAGCATGCTAAAAGGCGTTCTATTGAGTATGCTCAAAAATTTTCAAAAATAGAACGCCTGTCGATGTCTAATCCCGAAATGAGCATGTCAGTTTGAGTTGAGCAGCATATCAAAATTAACATGCGTTTAATAGTGATCAATTGAAGCATGCTTTCGCGTTTGAAATTAGAATATGTATCAGTATTTACCTTTTCGTTTTATCTACGAGAAAGTAATAGAAGATACTGTATAATATACATGTCTAACATATCTAATATGCAGATAAATAAAAGTGTAAGTTTATTTGTAATATCAAAATAATCGCATTTCACTTTTTACTACATGCATATGAATATGCGATACGATACACATGGGTACCAAAATAACATATTATACAATTTTTGTCTATCTGTCTGTATGTGTTGGCTAAAATGAATAAAATAGATTGGCTGCCTCGTTAGCCTAGTGGTCACAAGTGCGACCGCCGAGCAAGGGGTCTCGGGTTCGATTCCCGGGTCGGGCAAAGTATTACTGGGTTTTTATAAATTCTCAGTAGTAGCACGGAGTCTGGAATTGTGCCCGATATATGGCAATAGGCTCACCCCCTATTACATGGGACTCATAACATAAATAGTGAAAAGTAAAGTGGGTGTTATATTGCACAGTGGCGTAATGTGCACCTCTGCCAACCCCTTCGGGGATAAAAGGCGTGATGTTATGTTATGTTATGTTATGTTATAAAATAGATGTTTAACCCGTCGTGTGTCTAAACGCGGATCCACGCGAGACTCAATGTATTTTCTATTATGTCTCATAGATGTAAAGGTATTCAAGCGGTCAATTTTATACCCTGTCATCATCCCTATTGATGTTCAATGCACTTGGTGGCACTGCACTGCACTGCACTGATAATATAGAAAACTGTGTACTTCGGAAAAATAATGTCTTAATTGGTATGATTGTTTCCTACCCTACTTATATTATAAAGTATGAGTGTTTGTTTGTTTGTTTGTTTATTACTCCTTCACGTCAAAACGGCTGAACGGATCATGAATTGAGGATATATTGGGATTATCACCAAATAGTTTCAAAGAACGGGGGTAGATTATGGTCCGATGACTTCTCCGAGGCGAGAGGGAGTGTCAGACTCCTTCGAGCCGGAGCCCCGGCAAACCGTTAAGTCTTCCGCGGCTCCGTAGGTAGGTACTTTTTAATCTAGGCTCTAGGATCTAGGCTACTTTTTAACCCACGGGAACCCGGGCGAAGCCGCTGGCCGAGGCTAGTTGTCTCTAACAACTTTATTAATATACCATAAGTAAGTATTTAAACTAACTCTCAAATGATAAAATATAAAATTGGAATCATCCATCCAAGCATGGTCCAGTCTGCCAGGGGTTAAGGGTCCTGTTAATTTTCACATCACATCAACAGTCTATAAATGACCACTGCTGACCAAAGTCCTCTTCTGACACGAAGAAGGTTTGCGCATTAATCACCACGCTTATTCAATGTGGGTTGGCGATTTCAAACTTATCTTTACGATGTTTTCCATTAGAGATGTCTAAATAATCTAGAAAGTACGTATAACTCGGAAAAGTCACATTAGTACTTGGCGTTGGTAGGTTTTGAACCCGCACCCTTATGCATGAGCAGCGGCAGTCTTAATCTTCCGAGCCACCACGAGATCCTGTTAATATTATTGTATCGTAATTTTATACTTAATAACATAATATAACATCACGCCTTTTATCCCCGAAGGGGTAGGCAGAGGTGCACATTATGGCACTTAATGCCACTGTACAATGTAACACCCACTTTTCACTATTTATGTTATGAGTCCCATGTAATAGGGGGTGAGCCTATTGCCATATAACGGGCACATTTCCAGACTCCGTGCTACTACTGAGGTTTTTAAAAACCCAGTAATACTTTGCCTGACCCGGGAATCGAACTCGAGACCCCTTGCCCGGCAGTCGCACTGGCGACCACTCGCCCAATGAGGCAGTCTTTTACTGTTTTATACTTAATATCAACTTAATACTACATACATACATAACTTCACGCCTATCTCCCATGAGGGTAGACGAATACGTATCAACTTAATATTCCTAAATTATTATTCATAAACTCTGAACTTAATTCAGTACCTAATGAGAAGGTTTAGTCATACTCTTTTGTCTGTCTCCCCAAAAGCAAGATTCCTTTTGAAAGATTCGTGTTACACAAAAAAAAAAAAAATTAAGGATAACCGCTTAACATTTTTTTGGTGAGTAAAATATTTAATCCTTGCAATAGAATGGACCTTTCATAGCCTTTCAGGAAGTACCTCCCATTGTAGGGTGAATAATTATGATATATAGCTTTTAAACGTCGGCAGGATTATAAAAATTTACAAGCCTTTTGTTTATCTTGAAACTTTTTTGCTAACAAAAACCCATAGAATTGTCTAACGCGGCGGGCAAAACAAAGTAGGTTGGGTGGTCTTACGATTAAGTAAACAATAGTTGCGACTACAATGACTTTCTAAAACAATCATTATTGACTTAAAAAAATTGTACATAGTTTGGTCAAACGTGCAACGAGCGTTTTTCACAGAATATAAAATAAACACCATCGTAAAAACATATTTAACTAAGTAATAAAAAAAACCATAAATCACACAACGCCTTTTGATCCCTGAGGGGAAAGGCGATGTTAGTTAATATTAGTATTTGTATCAAGTATTTGCTTACGTAAGTTAACAAAAACAAAGTAGGGACAAAGTCTTATACGACAAATTGTTTACAAATAAAACATAGAATCACAGATAGACAGACGGGTACTCAGATCAATCAGCCGACAATAAAATGATAGACAAAAAATATAATAAGTACGTAAGATATTTTCATAGGATTGTCATGATAATAAGGAATGGTGACGTCGATTTTATTATCTTGTCAGTCAAGTAAGTCATCACCACCACTACCGATATTAAAAGCGACCAAGAATAAAAAAAAAAAATTATTCGACCAGACTGCGTGGAGTTGAGTTTATTACCATAATAGTAAGTAGTAACATAATCTATGAATGAGGTAGTTTCAGGCTGCGTGGAACACCATGCAGTCTGGATGTAACATAAAATCACGCCTTTTATCCAAAAAAGGGCAGGCAGAAATCCACATTACGACACTTGATGCCACTGTACAATGTAACACCTACTTTTCACTATTTATGTTATAAGTCCCAAGTAATAGGGGTGAGCCTATTGCCATTTACTGAGCGTAATTCCAGACTCCGTCCCACTACCGAGATTTTCAGGAATTCCCTAATAATAATGTTATCATCATTTTTGGAAAACCCTTCTCCCAAAAACTACGGCGCAATTAAACAGATGATTATTATGATTAATTTGCAATGCATTTGTGATACCTTAGTGTTACTAGCTAAGGAGGACGCGGGACGCGTGAGGCAGTGAAGCGCTGCCTCCTCGGAACCCAGTCATCGCGGGCGTCGGGGATCGCGAGACGATCTCCAGCCACCCTAAGCGCGGGCCTGCGGGCGGCGAGCATGGATGGCTCGTCGTCCTACCAGAACCAGACCCGAGCGTACGGCGCGTCGCGTTCCGCGAGCGCTTCAAAGAGCCATCAGACCACCACGGATGGGGCCCAATAGGGCTGATGCCGATTCGGAGTCGTGAAGAACCTAACGGGTTACCGGGGCTCCAGCTCGAAGTGCAGGAGAAGGAACGGGGTGGTTTTCAGTAAAAGTCTGACACTCCCTTCCGCCTCACCCAGGCGGAAAAAAACATTCGATGACTAAAAAAAAGTTTTACAAGTGTAAGTAGCCATGTAAGTACTACTTAGCCTACGTAGTGTATCTACGTTTACTATCAGGCTGGCTGTAATCATTTTTGCTACCAATTAGTAATATAAAAAAATATTAGTACCTAGTCAAAGAGTTTTGATATATCTAGGTTTGACTATGTGTATAGTAGGTACGTATGTGATGATTTGGCATGCGTAATATTTTCAACTAAAAAAAATTAGGGTTTAAGTAACTAGATATACAAACGCAGATGCTTTGTCATCTATACCGGTAATTTTTTTTGACAATGGTCATCTCATCTTTACTTTCAAACCGACCTTTCTTTACATCTAGCTAGTACTTGTGTATTAGTCAGTTTTTGCATAGTAGGAGATAGAGTAAATAAAAACCCCCTTGCTCTTTGCCAAAATCATTTACAACCTCAGGGGATAAACAGTTGTTTTTCAATGAAGCACAATAGCTCCCCCAATTGTAGTCTTCTTGTGTCATCTTTATTACAGTACACTAAACTCTTTGCAATTGACAACAATGGGCCCGTCAAGTCCGTCAATAGCTTTTTAGTAACTTCGGTTCATTTTTACATTGTGCGTGGTATTTTCTCATTGGCGAATTTGCAAATACAAAAGACAAAAATGTTGTAAGTTTAACGAAAGAAAAATAAATGAAGGACCTTTCCAAGCTTTTTGTTTGTTTGAACTTTTTGCTATGAAGCCGCTTAGATACCCAGTTCTCAGTACCCAAATACAAGTTAAGACACGTTAAAACCGAGTTACAAAAAAGAGTAATTGTTAAAATAGTCGTCAATAGATAAGTATAGTATCCGGTGATAAATATTGCAGCATTGACCTTTACTTTTCATGCTTTTACTGCTCATGTGCTGCTATAAAACTAATCGAATTTTCGAATCGAAGATTGAAAAAGAAAGTTTTGTACAAATAATATAATTACGCACAGTGTCTCTGTTTTTACCGTTTTTCCTGTCGAAGGACTGCAGGAAGAGATTCCTTCGGGAATATGTAGTACCTATGTACCTCCAAAATATTTATATATGTTCTCCTGTGTACTGTCTGTGTGTTGTGCATAAATAGATAAATAAATAAATAATATCATAAAGTAAACAATTTCAAAAAATCGATGTGTAATTTGTATATTATAAAAAAAATTGCCGAATACTGTACTATGTAGTCATAGTACAGTATTCGACAAATACTGTAGTACAGTATTCGACAAATACTGTACTATTTGGTCATAGTACAGTATTCGGCAATAAATAATAATTCCAGGTCCAACAATATGTTGTTTAAACTGCACGTTTGGCATAGTGGTAGGGTAACCGTGTGTTGTGCAACGTATAGCAGGTTCGATACCTACACAAAATATGTATTATTTTATTTATGTCAAACTCAAATTACAAATTACAATTCCGGCACTTACTTGACTATTACGTCTCAAATCCGAGATAGTGCGTAAACATCTTTTCACCACTTCCTTCATATAGATCTCCTGCATGCCCGAAAGTTCTTTTTTATTCAGTACTAATTTTCTGCTTTCTGCAATCGAAACAAACATGCAATTATTTTTTATGTCGATTATAAGTACCTACATTTAAACCTTCCTATTGAATCTGTCTAAAAAAAACTTCCATCTTAGCATAGGTACTTACGTAGGGACAGACAGACAGACAGGCAGACAAAGCGACTTTGTATTATACTATGTTCATTCAGTTATGTAATACCAGCTTCTGGTAGCAGTTTAACTCGCGTTAAATGCGGATAAAATTAGTATATTAATATAGTCCGATATTTAGGGAGGGAATAAACGTCAATACAAATTGCCAATAAGTCTTGTAAAATAGGTTCAACTATTCCAGATATTAGCCAGTAGGTACTTACAAACAGATAGACAGACAAAATTTGTAAATAATATTATTTTGGTGTGTGTATCATATTATGTATATTAATATGCTCTGCTGCCTCCTTGGCTGAGTGGTCGCAAGTGCGACTGCCGGGCAAGGGGTCTCTGCTTCGATTCCCGGGTCGGGCAAAGTTTACTGGATTTAAAATAAATCTCAGTTGTAGCACGGAGACTGGAATTGTGCCCGGTATATGGCGATAGGCTCACCCCCTGTTACATGGGACTCATACTTTTTGCCTTTACCCAGCAGGTAGACGTCTTTCGACTGTTGATGACTTGATGATGATGATGATGATGATCACTGTTGTTTATACATACACTAGCGACCCGCCCCGGCTTCGTACGAGTGCAATATACATGTTTTATACACATAAACCTTTCTTAAGAATCACTCCATCTATTAAAAAAAACCGCATCAAAATCCGTTGCGTAGTTTTAAGGATTTAAGCATACATAGGGACAGACAGACGGCGGATAGCGACTTTGATTTATACTGTGTAGTGATACATGACTTCACCCCTGTCTCCCATGGGGGTAAGCAGAGACTATGGATCGCCAATTACTACGATTCCTACATACCTCTTTCGCTTCATCAACAGTCATCAATCTCTTCATGCATGCTCGTTATAGTATATATATAGTAATAACAGTTTATAAGTTCTGGTTTATCAGACCGCACTGCTACCCGTCTTTATAAATGTGGGGTGGCTTACGACTGATGATTGGTTTTTTTTAAAGGGGGAAAATTATCGAATGTCTGCTCCCGCCTGGGTGAGGCGGAAGGGAGTGTCAGACTCTTACTGACTAAAAACCACCCCGTTCCTTCTCCTGCACGTCGAACCGGAGCCCCGGTTACCCGTTAGGTTCCCCACAACTGATGATTGGTTTGGATACGGTTTGATGGGCTATTTGATATATCTGTCGATTGATCTCTGTCTTGGACAAAAACTTCATACACGTCATGTCAATAACTGGTCTTAATCCAGTTGGATTGAGTTCATAATTTCGGTCGTCTGTCGACTCCTGCTACGCCCGTGGAAAGAGCAGGTGTGGTGACAACATACTTTTATCCCCGAAAGGGTAGGTAGAGGTGCACATTAAGCACAATGCGATACCCACTTTTCACTATTTTTGTTATGAGTCCCTTGTAATATGGGGTGAGCTTATTGCCATATACCGGGCACAATTCCAGATTCCGTGCTACTATTGAGAATTTTTTTAAAAACCTAGTAATACTTTACCCGAGAATCTAACTCGAGACCCCTTGCCTGGCAGTCGGACTTGCGACCATTCGGCCAATGAAGTAGTCACACAATGAGGGTGGTGAAAAATTTTGTTCCATTCTTCTACACCTTTTCATAGTAGGTACCTATGTAGTATGTGCTTTAAGTGTGACTAAGTAATAAAAATAAAAACTGTGATGTGTGTGATAAAGTAATAAAAACTTACCAGATACAAATAAAATTCTTGCTCTTTGGGGAGCCTGGCCTTCATCGCACAAATTTACAATATTTCCAGGGACCCAAGTTGTTTCATCGTGACCCCTTCTGAGTACGCGGACCATTACTTTTTGTGGAAACATCGTATTCGGATCCCTAACATCCTTCAATTCAGCTAATATCCAAACAGTGGACATATTGTCAATAATGCACTTCACGTTTAAAATAATATAATTGCATTTGAACTTGCGTAAATATCGTAAATGTTTATCTGACTTCCTAAAATTAATGTTAAAATAATCTACACCAATGTCAATTGATCGTTTTCTACCCTCAAGATGTTAATTTGAATTCGCGACGAGTGTCGGTTATCGAAGATTTTAACGGTCTCATATTCTTAGCTGCTGTAATTTCTTTTATAATGTAATATGTAGGTAGGTGCACTTTTGTAACTACTACAAACCTAACCGATTGGCATTTGTTAAATAGGTTTAAGTTATTATAATGGAACTGGCGTGAAGTGTTCTAAAGTCATAAAAAAAACCTAACCGAAATTAAATAATCGATTTTTTACATTACTTAGGTATATGGAAGTTTCTACCAATAACAAATTTGGATTATTATTGTTTAATAATTTGGGCCGAAAATGAAGGAGTCGCTAGAAATGAACACCCATGTCACACCTATTTATTCATCATACCTAATGTACTCATTTTATCAAACTTTATAGATTTATGTATTTTATTCAAATGGTGTCACCAAATGCTTATCATCAGGTAGGTACCCTTATTTTTTCCCGCGGAGAACCTAACGGGTTACAGGAGCCCCGGCTCGAAGTGCATAAGTAGGAACGGGGTGGTTTTTAGTAAAGTCTGACACTCCTTCTCGCCTCACCCAGGCGGGAGAAGTCATTCGATTATTTTCCGCCCACTCTATGTTTAGCTTCTGTCAGCAACTTCGCTTGTGTAGCCCATGTACACTCCAGACCGTAATCTACTTCTGTTCCCATCCCTGTCCCTCCTGTCGTTTGACTCGACTGAGTAACAAACATATAAACAAACACAAATTTTCGCATTTATAATAGCGGTTCAAGTTACTTTAAACCGTCGTCGATTCTACAGTTACAGCGCAAGGTCCATTGAGGCAAACTAACATTCGACATATGTACTTATATTTGCGCCTGTCTGGTACAGCAATTCAGTGATGAAGAAGCTGGCACATCTCCAACCAGTATTGGCCAATCGCTCGTCGCCGCTGCTCCTGCACGACCTCATACTGCACAGCAGATTGTCTCCAAGTTGTAAGAACCGGAATTGAAACTTCTGTGTCATCCGCCCTATTCACCAGATCTTGCGCCTGCAGACTACTACTTTTCCCAGAATTTGGATAATTTCTTGGCAAAAAAACAAAATTAAATATCCGAGTGGCAGTAAAAAATGCTTAAATAAGAATTTGTTACACCCGGTCCAGCTGATTTCTTTAAGAATCATTAAACTACCACTGTGTAGGTAAAGATGTATTGATTGTATGGGTGATTGCTTCGATGAAAAAAAAATTTTTAGGTTACATTATTATTTAAAATTGGAAACCATTCCAGTCTGTGTGCGATTATTGAAACATTCTAATACATATTTTCGTCCGCGAATGGGTCCCGAGATCTCATACTATGTAGAAGAATGTCTGACCACTTGAGTAACGTGGCTATATGTATATATATGGTTTTATGGCTTAATTTTAGGTATGAAAATAATAGTAAAATATAATATTTATACGTAAAAGTATAAATATTATTTACCATTTTTTCATATTTGTGTATAATGTATAAGTACCCTCTGAAAATTAATCTTATTTTAGGTAGTTAGCTAACATTATTACTGAACCGGTTTTATGGTGGTTTTACAACACTATTTTATATCGATTTCGGATAATCGACTAAATGTTTTATAACTTATCTGTACATAAATAAGCAACCTGCTGCCAGTATTGGCAATGGGCAGTGTCTGTCTGTCAAATTAATCTGTCAAACTAAAATTCAGATTGAGTTCGCAAGTGTTGGAATGGAAGGTTGTCATAGTTGTTTTGATACGAATTATGCAATAAAACTGCGATAGTCGTGTGTGATCATTATTGCGACACACAGCAAACGATGTCTCACGAGACGGATCTTGTAATATCAGTGCCGCGTTCCCGTATAAATGAATTTTACTGCAAATATTATAATTTAGTTGAAACATTTTACTGTGTCACACTGTCTGAGAGTAAATTGTGTTCCGCGAACGAAAAACCTGATTATGTGTATTTCAACGTCACGTTCAACTTGAATCCAGCAGATGGAAGTTTCAATCCGAAGGAATTGACTGGGAGAATACAGGTAAATACTGTATAAAAGTTAAACAAAATGTCAACTTTTATTGTTCTCGAAAGAAATGTAAATGTAACAAAGGATCTACTGAATAATAAAGGCATATCGTCATCAACATTTATAGTGTAATATACATATTATTAAAATGTAGTTTTTAACAAGATTATTATTAGGCTTCTGTGCCATGTGGCAGAAAAAGAATATTAATTTTGTGAATGAGTGAATTTATTAAATATTTAAATTAGATAAAAATTTGCAATTTGAGTCTAAATTTGTTGAATGACCTCATTTCCTTGCAAGTTTCCCAATTTGTACACATTTGGAATCTGGTTATTTTACCAATTAGAATCATGTTAGTTGCCTGAATCATTATACATTGGGTTCCAAAATTACCACCATTGCTTGGCCACTGTAAGTACATAACTCTTTGGTACCATCACTATTGTGAATCATTGTTGGTAATTAGTAATGCCATTATCTGATACATAATAAATTATTATTATTACAAACTTGATTAATAAGAATGTTTAATATCTTTAATCTTTTGATTAAAAGTGATATTATTCTTAGTATGGAAATGTTTTCTATTTCTAGTTGGTAGATTGATAACTTAAAATTATCAGGGAAATATTATTACTAGCAGGTACCAGCGGCTTTGCCTACTTGATCCAAGGAGAAATAGGGTCCTTAACTTTATCCAAAATTGTAAAAATCACAGCATAGAACACTGTCTTGTGATGCAGACCAACAAACAGATACCTACATTTTCTGAAATTATTTATCACTAACTACTTCCGCGCGGTTTCACACGCTCTGCTCAGGTTCTATTGGACGTAGCGTGATATTTTATAGCCTGTAGCCATCCTCGATAAAGGCACTATTTAACACAAAAAGAATTATTCAAATCAGACTTGCAGTTCCGGAGATTAGCACGTGCAAACAAAAAAAAAAACCAACTCTTCCGCTTTATATAATAGTATAAGATTATCTTTGATTATTATGTCTATAGTCTTGGTGTTTCTAGTTCTTAAATAATAATTTGAATTCCAATTGGTATATTACATGTCTATTACTGTCAAAATTGAAAATGTATCAAGATTATGTAACTAATCTACCTATATAAGATTTCATCAGTACTATTATGTATTTTTACACAAACTGCATTGGTTCAATATTAATTCTAGTATAGAATACATCACAAAAGCATTTTTCTTTATCTCAAATAATATAGTGTTCATATGCGGGAACTGAACCATTAACAAGTTGCACAGCATCCGGTCTCCCAACAACTGCACGAAGAAATGAGTAAAATAACATGTATTGAGATAACTTTTATATTATCTTATCTTAGTCTTAACCCATAAATTACCAAGCGGTCACCGGTGACCGCTTTCCACTAATATTACATTACATTATAGACCTTATTTGTAATGTTTAGAGACTACTTTTGTATGACCAAATTTAGGGGGTGGATTTCAACGGGTTAAGATATTAAACTGTCAAACACCAAGCGGTCACCGGTGACCGCAACCTATTGTTCTATAATTGTGTCTATAACGACGGTACTCGACGAGTTAAATAACAAGACAATAAATACATCAACTGCTAATTAATTCAAAATCTTGCACACCTAGGAGACTACAAGGCTAGGTGGCAGCAAAAAATACTATTCATAAATTGAATGTTTAGTTTTGTATGTATTAATCCCATTAACTCGTCGAGTACCGGTTTTGTAGACACAATTATAGAACAATAGGTTGGGTCACCGGTGACCGCTTGGTGTTTGACAGTTTAAAACCGTACAAGTATATTTTAATAATACAGTTGAATTAAGCAGGGTATTATAAAATTATATACCGTCCGATCTGAAGGATAATAATTAGGGGGTAGTTGTATGTAGATGATACCCGTAACCTAAAGGGATTCCTACATAGTATGTTTGCATATTTTAGATAGAAGAAGATCCTTTCAAAAATTAACTGTTTCTAAAATGTAGGTTGATGTAGACGCAGATCCTATTTGGAAGTCAGTTAAAGAGGTAAAAAAACCTTTAATTATTTATTTAATTCACAAACTTCACAATTACTTTTGAGAAATCAAATTATCAAATAAGTTATCACTATTTTGTAGGTGTCGTTTTTCATGTCTGTCAGTAATAACAAGGTCAACCTATTGCGATAAATTTTGACCAGTAGAATATATAGATGGTGACATAATATTAAGGAAAAGAAGACCAAGGTAAAATTCCTTTGCAGTCTTGTTAGAACTCTTTACTGTTCCAATTATTTCGTGACCACTTTGAAAATACCAAGTTTTGTAAACAACTAGGTATGTTGAAGACTAAAAAATATTCAATGAGTTATCTAATTGGATATTGACTCTCAGGCTTACTTTTTAATCTTGGGCAAGGTATATGGTGCTTAACTGGTAAGGCAAGAGAATGCTGATTTATTTGTAATCACCTTCAAAATAGGAGGTTCTCAATTCAGATCAATTTTTTCTGAAGATTAAACAATCTTAATATTTTATTTCCTCTTTAAAAATCGTACTTCATTTACCACTCTCTAATTTTCTATAAACCAACCTACAGTGAACTCGACTGGGTTTCGGTCTAGATTACCAGCGACAACAGTTGCTTTGGATTGTATAACATTTTATGACAAAAATGGTGTTAGAAAGTCCACATCATATTGTTTCCGGGTATAATTCGTGGTAGAGTCGATGGATGCGACAAATTCAAAACGATATTGGTAGTGGCAGAGGTCAGCGGTGCGCGGTTTGTTTGGGGGCCGCCCGCCGGGTGCAGTGGGCGCACAACCCGGATCTCGCGGTGCCCCGCTTCCCCTTCACTCAGCGGGCTCGTGCGTGGAGGTGTGCATGCGCTTGCGCCACATGATACTCTAGTCAATAGTCTTGCCGCGCAACACGCCGCGCTCGCACACGCGCGTGATGCCATGCGACGCGCACACGATCTAATACAATATTATGTACGCGATTGACAACTCCCAGGTGAGCGCGAATCTCATATCCCCCGTTAGGACACCTGTTGCACCCGGTTTACGCAACAGGCTGGCTCTGCGTATACGGATCTTATTATCGCGAGTTTCACAGTGAGACGCGACTGTGCTTACATCGTATTATAATGATGTTCATTCACGATCGGCCGATATAACGATCCCGGAAGTAGAGCCGGTTCGTTAACGTCATGTAGGTATGCTAATTATTGTATGTATACAGTGCTCTTAAACACAGACGAAATGCCTAGGATTGTTTTTGAGAGGATTAGTTGTGGGTGAGTGAGAATCGTGACTTTGTGTTCGTATGTTTGTTTGTGTTCATTGAGAGTAAAGTTACTTCAGACACAGAGAAAGAAAATTATTTTTTTGGTTCTCTTACAGTGAACATTATTAGTGCGGCTAGCATACCAGCAAGTAGATAATGGATGTGTTGTGGTCGTCCGTCATCAGACATTGAACAGCATCACGCTGCAATGTTGTTGTTTTTGTAGCAGTTTGTGAAAGCAATGTTTAATTAATGTGCATGTCTTCATCTGTCGCCTGTGCAAAGTGTCGCAGGTCCGCTACTGCTCGGATATCATGGCTAACTTTCACTTTGCCTCAGAGAGCACTGGTGATTTATATGCTTACGTTATCTACAACATCTGATCACGGATTTGAATTTAATAAGTGTGATGACTTTTCTAAGAAATATGAATGCGTTGAGCAAGTTCATTGATATTTTTTTTGCTGTTCGTTTTTATAATCGGATCTTTGAAGTGTTTAGTTAAGCAAAGTATCGACATCGGGTATCGCTAATACGTTGTCAACACACTTGCAGGATATCATTGATCTGTTTTCCTTTTTTGTAGTTGAGCTTTCTATAGATATCTACACGCGAAGGTTATGTTAACACTCACGGATGTTTCGCAAGCAAACTAACTGAATACAAAAGACGTCACTTTCATTTTATTTTAATACAATGTTAGCTTTAATTAAAAATCCGAGATACGACACGTGGGAATAGGGGAAACCAAGATTTAACTGCTCACAATCGTTTCTAATTAAATAGTTCACTGACAATTACCGATTCCTACAAATGATCAGGAATTTGCCGCGATGATCTGAGTTCATTATTAAAATATATTATTTTATTTTAGCAAGATTCTAAGAGTTAAAAGATATTTGGTTCGTAATAATGAATGGCGTGGCGCGGGCAACCTTCTAATGTTACTTGAAACATATTAATATCCGGTATGATTATGCTCTGATGTTATAGATGTCAATAGGCAGTTATTAGAAGCGAGTCAATGAGGTAGGGGCCCATTCAACAAAATACTCGATTTCTTCTAAAAGCTAATTCGGCAGACTTCGACGAATTTACTCAAGTGACGTACCATAATGCTAATTTGTGGTCAGATTAGTTTTTTAACTGCGACATTAAAGACTTATTTAAATAATATCCTGTGAAAATTTGATAAATAGGTGCGATTTAAGTATGATATAATGTATGTGTTGCCAACTAATATATCATTTAGAATTATGGCAATACTAATTTGTCTTTGCGAGATCCTAAAAGTAAATCAGTCACACTAATAGATGGTAGCTGCAGGTGAATTTTCTAAGTGTCTATTTGCGTTTTATCTGTCTATTGCACGACAGAAATAGGGTATTACTGTTACCTAGAACTTCCCTTATTCCCTAATATTCCCTTAGCAGTTCGTTGCAGTTCATTTTTGAGCGTCGTGGAATAGACAGGGAGGGATAACGAGGGAGTTACTATCATGCTCATACTTTGCAGTTGCAGGTGTTTTGTTTTATCATAGATGTCAGAATGCTGCTGTTCATCATTTGGTGTCATAGTCGTAGTTTTAGATACATAATAGTTGTTACTATTATAAATTGCTAAAAGAATTTTTGAAACCTGCTATGATCATGCTAGAAAAGTTATAGTTACTTTGAGCCTTCGAGATGATCCAAAAATTTGAAGATCGACTTGCTTAACTCGTCGAGTACCGGTTTTGTAGACACAATTATAGAACAATAGGTAGCGGTCACCGGTGACCGCTTGGTGTTTGACAGTTTAACTCGTCGAGTACCGGTTTTGTAGACACAATTATAGAACAATAGGTTGCGGTCACCGGTGACCGCTTGGTGTTTGACAGTTTAATTTGGATTTGAACTAGATAATATTAAGGTTTCTTCAATCTTATCCATTTGGGTTTTTAAAACCCTCGTGTTTTAAATGTTTCCTAAAAAATTTTTCTGATAAATTTAGAACCTCAAGCGGCGTCCACAGCTCAAATATACATGTAATACATTTAATTTATTCACCAGTTACCTACTTATAGTATTTATATCTGATAAGATCAACTGACGTCATGTTCCGTTTTCATCTAATCTTGTCATTATTGTTGTGAGCAAAAGTCAAAGCATCTACGTCACGAATTAATTGCAAGCTCTTGAATATCAATTAAGAACTTTATAAAAACAACTCGTTATTTATGACAGATTGGTTTATAGACAACAAGTCTATGGCTTATTGCCGTTGTTAAATATTTATCTGAACAGTATTATCAACATTGAATTTTGACTTTTGTACCTCACGTACGTATTCATATCGCGGAGCTCGCCGATCGTTGTATCTACAGACGAGACTTTTGTTATGGCAACCGAATGTTTGTGTTGAATGCAGTGAGGTACGCGCGAGTGTGTGTGTGTTGTACATAAAGTATGTCGCGTGCCCGCATCCTGTTCGTCGCTGACGCCACATCGTATGAGGTGGCGTCGCCCGAATACTCCCACCCTATTGGTCGCTGTTATCTCCACAACAAACCAACGATAAAATTTCTCCTCTACAAACGGAACTATTTGTACTCATTCACCCAGACCTTATTTATTTATCGACGTACAGTCGTTCTCGATATAGATTATGAACTTATTTAAGCATGTATTGACTGCCCAGAGTGACCTAATGTTTCCTGGAAAATGGAAAACGTGTATGTGAGTTGGTCGTTTAGGAATTATGTTTTCAAGAATTTGGTAATAGGTACCATGCAATATTCAGGGCCGATTTTTTCAACGCCAGATTAAGTTTTATCGGAAGAATAATGTTGAATATTTGACAATTTATTCTACGTTAAAAACTGTGAAATGTCAATTTTATTCTACAGATGACAATTATCTGTTAGATTGAAAAAGTCATCCATTAGTAGTTATTCTTTGGACGATTAGAGGGTTGTGTATTTCGGTTGTATGGTTTAGTTCTAAATCAATAAAGTTCTTACAGTTTATAGCGAATTGATAGAAAGATAGGTGTCAGTTGGTTGTGAACAAAAATTAATGGTATCTTAATTTCTAAGATACGCAGTACGATAACCTTTGCAAACACGATTATAGTCCTACGTACGTACGTAGTAGTTCCTTGATTTGCGTCTAAACGATAAAACCGTGTATATTGACGTCAATACTATCTGTAGTCATTCTTTGCACGTCAATTCACAGGAAGAAGTTTTGTGTCTAAAGTTCGATTTATCATAAACACAATATTTGAAAAACAATGATAAGTTCAAGAGAAATATTGCAAGTGCAAGCATTAAAAACGTGGACTTTAGAAGCAATACTGTTAAGAATTCAGAAGCGAGCTAATTTAATATCTACACCGAAACACCACTTGTAATCTACAAAACGAATTAGAACTTCTGATTCTGTATTCTGCGGTGTCTCTGAAGTAATATATATGACACAATAGAAAATACATCGCGTGGATCCACGTTTAGACTCACGACAGGTTAAAAGGCTAAAACTTTTGATTATATAAATTATTTTAGTATCAACTGATCTGGCTCAATACAGAAATATAGACATTACAATAAGCAATAAGTACTTACTAGCTGCCTGCAAATCTATCTCTAAGAATAATAATTATCAATTCAATGATTCGATTGATTTGTATGACCTCCAGGCCACAAAGCGAGTCGTTTTTTGTTCTTATGACCCGTTTAATGATGTTGTTATTGAAATATAGACTCGTTGGTGTTTCGCAAGTAGTCTAGCGTGTTTCCTTCCAGATTCTAAAAATCTAATCTGAAAAAACGTAAACAAATCGTTCGTCCAACGTAAACTAGCGTGGCTAATGCGGCGGGATAATCCAATGGGTTTTTTTGTTTTGCCTAAAATATCTACCGCTGTTACCAGAAAATGAGTTCGAATTTGGCTATCAACACAAGCTTTTCCGTTTATTTATTTTATACGCTCGCTAGTAGATGACTCTTTATAAACTTGACGTTCTCGTATTATTAAGTACTCCTCAATTGTACTGAGGCTATGATAATTGTGCGGGAAAAGATTAAGACATTTTTAATAACTTGTTTGTGTAACGAGATTCACAATTAATCATTATCACCCCAAACACGTACATCGTACGATCCATTGACGTAACACGTAGATACTATTCTAGCATTTAGGACAATTTATTATGTCACATATTCAATGAACTCTTCATTGACGGGCAACAATTTATTTGATAATACTTTTACTATTTTTCTTGTAGGTTTTATTTACTCGCAGTAATCATAAAAACGTAATGTATGATAAAGCATAAATTATTATTATTATTGCAAGAACAAGCTTCTTAGATTCCTACAACAAATAAATTTGTTAATAAGCCTAGAATAAAAGAGTTAGAGAGTGCTCGTAAAATAAATGAATGGAGATACATCAAGACTTGGCTGCATCATAATCAACATAGTTCAATATCGTTCTCCATCCGCCAACTGTAACTTGGCTCGATTTTTTTAGAAAGTCGCATCCGGCTTCGCGCTGTAGGCGGGGCGCTTCCGTACTGTGCCTAGCCCGGATGTAGGCTCCCGAGACCTACTAAACTTATCGTCTTACACGACTGTACGTCAGTGTACGTTTAGCTACCGATTTTCTAACAGGAACTAGTCGCACACTACGCAAATGAAAGCCGTTATTGAAGTAAAGGGGTATTGCCGTTCTAATTTTTAGTTTTGATGCAACTATTGTTGTTTTATTACATTAACGCAATACTAATCAGTGTTGCGTGTTACTTTGATATTATCAAAATTACATTTAAAAATAAATCTTTCATTACTTTGCTTTTTTAGTAAAATGAAACGATTAATAATATTAGATACCATCATTCATAATAATCAGCGATAATAAAGGAATTTCCTTTAGATCCTGTTTGTTATTTTACCCACCTACGTGGCTTAATCTAAACCAAAATCTAGATTTGTATTTTAGTTTCTCAGCCAACTAGGTCTCGACTCGGATCTTGCTAGTATGACTAACAGCTATTTTGTACATTATTAAGTAAATTTTCTAACTGTAAGCGTGTCCAGCGTGCGATATGATCGTGGGTTATTTTTGAATTTTTAGTTGAGAAATATTTTTGTCAATTCAAGAATAATGTATTCCAACCGGTACGGCCGACGTTGCGCATACGCTAAAGGTCAATGATCATCTGTAGATCCGCTTCGGCGCCCTCGTGACCCTGTGCTGAGCCGGTGTCGGTCGCGGTTATATCAAATTTGCTTATTGATCGATAATAATCATCACTAACTTACCGTCTTCGGGTTTGCTAAGATACCAATTCACGCAGCATTATTGAAATGGCAAATAGTTTGTCATTATAATGTTATTTTTAGGCTAATAGAATGCTCTTAAAATTATTTGATAAGTCTAAGACGGACGCTCAAGGTGAACAAAATAAATATAAAAAAACTGTGCATTCTCGTCACATCCAAATGTTGCACAAATCCATAATTTACGTTTTATAAGAAATAATTTTTATTTTCAATAGTTTATGGCTTTACATTTTAAACAATCAATACATGAAATATGTATTCTGATCAAATAAGTGGTTTGGAAAACATTCGTTTCTTTAAAACTATAAGAAGGTTCCTAAACTTATGTATGTTTGTTGTTCCCTGTTGTCTGATGACGGCCATGCTAAATATGTTGGTATTGTTCCAGAAATATGTGGAGTCATCAGTGGGGTGCGCAGGAGAGCGCGGCGAGGATTCCAGTTATGACTCGGAGTGTGAGGATGAGAGTGCCCACCGTGCGGCCTCTCGGACCCCCTCCGACACCCTCGCTGCCGAGTTTGCAGAGTATGTCACTCTCACACCACCACAACCCAACCAGGTAATCTTCTAGCCATTACTCTATGCTCAATTGCATTTTTAAACATTATTCAAAGGATATAAGCCTTAATAAGTCTTAGGAACATCCTTAAGACGTGTTCTTATGTCCAACACACATTGGGCAAGGTCATCCAAAATTAAAGATACATTGTTACTTAGCAGCATAAGCTCATATGAATGTAGTAATAGAATTAATCAACGTCATACAAGCAGGCCTCGACAGGACGGTTTTTTGTACGCATTAATTAACATAGTACCTATGACAGTCATAGAACAATGGGTTTCCCCGTTTGTAAACTAGACCAACTATATTTTGTTGACTATTGTAAGTAATTCAAGGAAGTTTCAATTCTGAACTGAACTGTTTTTGATTTTTGCCTCGAACGACTTTATTTTCATTATCTTTTTTTATTTGCAGGCAAAGATCGAGTTTGCTATGAAGTTGGGTTACTCGGAGCGGTTGGCGCGGACAGCGATACAGCGGTTGGGCCCCGACCCGCCGTGCAACGAGTTGTTGGCGGAGCTGATCAAGCTGGCCGCCAAGCAGCCGCCGCGCGCGCTGTCGCCCACTCCGCCCGCGGAACCAGACCCGCCACCCGACCGCGCGCCGCTCAGGCACATCGTCATAGACGGCAGCAACGTCGCTATGAGGTATGTTTACATCACTAGCCAAATTAACTTCTAGTATATTAAAACTTCTTCAAAAATACTTCTATCAAAATAGTGTTTCAATTTTATTGTAAATAATCTGAAAGGCTCAAGTATCACAGAGTTCCGGTTCATATTTGATAAGTTCTTTTTATAATCTTATCAAAAAGATATAGTGATCATAAAAATAGTATAGTATCCATTTTAACCTAAATTATCAGATTCGTTGTTGTGTGGCCGTTTATGCTTATTTTTATTGTTTTGTCCTCAGCCATGGCAACAAAGAAGTTTTCTCGTGTCGCGGTATTGAAATCTGTGTGGAGTGGTTCCGTGCACGCGGCCATCGAGAGATCACAGCATTTGTGCCCAAATGGCGAAAGGAATCAGCACGTCCCAACAACCCCATAGTGGACAGAGACGCGCTCGAGCGCCTGGAGCGGGACAGAGTGCTCGTGTACACTCCCAGCAGACTGCTGGGCGGCAAGCGCCTCGTCTGCTACGACGACCGCTATATCCTTCGTCTTGCAGCTGAAACCGATGGCATCGTAGTGTCCAACGACAACTATCGCGACCTCGCTGTGGAGAACCCAGACTTCCGGAAAGTAGTCGAAGAGCGTCTACTTATGTATTCTTTCGTGAACGACCGATTTATGCCTCCGGATGATCCGCTCGGTCGCTCGGGACCAACGCTGGACGCGTTCCTGCGCGCGCCAGTGTCCCGCGCCGAGCCTCCGCCTGCCTGTCCGTACGGTCGCAAGTGTACGTACGGCAACAAGTGCAAGTTCCACCACCCGGAGCGCGCGGGCAGGCCGCAGAAGTCTGTCGCGGAGAAACTGTCCGAGCGCGCCGCCAAGACACTGCGCTCGCGCGACCTGCACACCGTCAGCCTGCCGCCCGGCGGCCGCCCGTCCGACGCCAAGCGACAGCTCGCGCGCGCGCAGTCCGCCGCGCCGCGCCTGCACGACGCCACGCTCGCCACACACTTCGACCGCGCGCAGTTGCAGGTGGCAGCCCCGCCACAGCTTCAAGTGCCGGGCCCCACGCTACAGGTCTCGGGCCCCTTACAGGTCCCGGGCCCGTCTCAGCCGCCGCCCGAGGTGAACCCGCACCGCAAGTTGGCGCGCCAGCTGACGCTGAATCCGGCGTGCGACCCGCGCTTGCAGACGCACGCGCTGGCCGCGCGGGTGGCGAGCGCGCCGGGCGCGGCG